AAACCAAATGACCCAATTAAAAGATGGGCTAAAGATCTAAACAGAGAGTTCTCAAAGGAAGAAATAAAGATGGCTAAGAAACACCTCAAAATGTGTTCAGCATCGTTAGTAATTAGGGAAATGCAAATTAAAATCACCCTAAGGTATCACCTTACCCAATCAGACTGTCTAGGATCAAGAGAACAAAGGATACCAAATGCTGGTGAGGATTGGAGAAAGGGGAACACTCATTCACTGCTAGAGGGATTGCAAACTCATGCAACCCCTATGGAAAACAGTGTGGAGAACTCTTAAAAAACTAAAAATGAACCTACCATATGATCTGATTATACCACTCCTTGGCATATACCCAAAGATCTCATCCTATTGCAGAGACACTTGTACATCCATGTTTGTTGCTTCTCTTTTCACAATAGCTAAGAGATGGAAGCAACCTAAGTGTCCCTCAACTGACAAGTGGTTAACAAAAATGTGGTATATTTATACAATGGAGTTCTATTCAGCAACAAAGAAAGATGAAATACTGAAATTTGCAGGTAAATGGATGATCTAGAAACTGTTATACTAAGTGAAGTAACAGAGACTCAGAAAAATGAAAGACATATGTTCTCACTCATTTGTGGATCTTAGTACCAAATCCTTTCCATGTCCTTTTAATAAGATGATACTGTACAGCAGTCTCTTCTGCTTGAAATAACTACCATTATCATGACTTCAGCTGTGCCTAACTGCTAAACATCATCACAACTGGGCTTGTTGGCGGTTGTGCTCCTTCATTAAAGGAGGGGCAAGCAGGGTCATTGGACCCTCACTGAAGTAGCCAGCCACTCTTCCCAGCCAACTGTATATAATTTGGCCCTAATCTCCTGGATTTGGGGAGGGCTAAAGTATACAGTCTGGGGAAGGACAGGAAGAGAAGGCTTGACCATGCTGGGTAAAGGCTTTCCAGTGTGAAAAACCTAAGGTCATGCATAACCTCAGCTACCCCTCAGTTATCTTGGTAAGTAAGCTCAGTAAATTCATTGGTTCCCCAGTAAAACTTTAATCAAACATTGGCTTGACACTAGAACCTTAAAGGGAATAAACATTGCTTATCATCCCCAGGAAAAAAGTTTCACAACCAATGGAAAATTTATTTGTTAATGCTATTATGTCCCATAATTACTTTAAAAAAAGAAAATGAGAATGTAAAAGATGTTAAAAGGATATGGGAATGGAGATATTTTCCAAAACAGATGGAAAAAATGAGAAAGCCTAAGTAAGTGATGAAGTCTGTATAGGTTTGTTATGATATATAAAGGATGAGACAAAAATAACATACACATAATCTTAAAATTTCTAAGGTCATAGTTTAGTCAACTAGTTTAAGGAACAAAATACATATCTAATCAAGGTTTTTCTGAGAACATCTGTTTTTTTACCAAGCCTTATCTACATAGCACGTGGTAATTAAAAGTACCAGACTGGTGGTACTAACATTATTGGATGTTTAACAGCCTTTCTTTGAGGCCTATACTAAGCTCGTCAGACGGACTTAAAGGACAGTTTTTGCCCCTTGCCCTCCAAGGTTGACTAATTCCAGGGGACTATGGAATATCTCTCAAAATGTCCTGTAACTGTGGTGAGACACCTGTACTCTTGTTCAAGGAGGCCATGGAGACTCCACGAGATGGACGTGAACCTGTGTCCAGTCTACAAAGAGGAGGGTCAACTCAGAGGAAACATCTCATTCATGCTTCCAAGTGAAGCCAGACATGGTCGAGCAGAGCCTTTGACTTATCTTCACGTAGATGGAACTGGTAAAAGAAAGGAGTCTGGAGCTCCTCCCAAGCCCATGTGACCCCTGAGGAACAGATCCTCAAACAACCATTAGTGTAAAATAAATTAATTTATTTGGGCCAACTGTATGGTCTTAAACACCCAAAAGGAAAGTATAACCAAAGAGTAAAGTCATCAGTATACTTCTTTAAGAATTCAAGGGATTAAACTTCCCAGACATTAGGCTTAAGTCCATATCAAAAGTTATTTAGACAATTATTTCTCACTGATGATTTGTTCCTAATCAGAAAGTGCCGCTCAGATATAAGACTTCAAATCTTGGTCTGCAATACTGTAGTGCCCACCTGTAGCTAAGCAACCCGCTATTGTTCTAAAATGTTGGATAAATTTTTCTCTCCCTATCTAGAAGCCTTTGAGAGGGAACTGACACTGATTCTAACTACTCTAACAGCTATCAAAACGTCTGAAAGCAAATCCTGAATCCATCTTGCAAGCTCTCATCAAGAAATTCCAATGGACTCTCATACGAACATTTGAAAATTGCCCTGTTCTGACTTTTTCCTAGTTCCCTGTCTGGAACTTGTAATGCTAATTACTCTTGCCTTTACTTCTCCTTCACATCTCCTATTCACCAGTCAAGGACTTTCTTTCCCTCCTACAGATAAGAGTTATGCAATTTGGGAGCCTTTGAGATAGACCCACAGAAGGGGTACTCCAGTTGCCTCACCCTGCATCTCTGTTCAGCATGGAAGAAGCCAGAGCAGTCTACGTCCCTATCTGCAAGTTGGGTAATCTCTTCAGAGAATGGTGTGATAAGAATAGGAGGTAGGAATTTGCTAGGATGTTAGGATAAAAAGACCTCAAAGAAATGTAGCCAGTTTCTTGGCTAAAAGTCACAATGTCTTTGGGTGGGCCTCTTAGCAACATACTCAGTTCCAAAGGCCAAAAATGTTGAAAGTATTTGGGAGCTTTTATCTAATCCTTAAAAGATTTTAGGGTTACCCCTTCAGAGGGGGGAACGTTAGAGCAGAAAAAAGCCCCATAAAAAAAAAAGAAGAAAGAGGACATGAAGTTACCAGAAAAAAAGTGATATGGGAGGAGTTGGAGGGGAGAGAGTAGCATGGATTTGATCAAAACACCTTATATGCATGTACGAAATTCTCCATAAATTATTTTTTTTAAATCATGTATTTTTAAGAGAATATAATTTAATAAGCCTAAGGACTAAAGATGTAGCTCAGTGGTAGACTGTTAGCCTGGCAGGTCCTGGGTTTAATTTTTAGTACCAGAGAAACAACAACACTCACATACACAGACATACACACACACCCCCTAGCTAAATCAGACTGTACCTAAATCAAATCTTTAAGTTGCTATGATAAATATATATCTTTACGAAAAAACAAAATTGCTATAACCTTCAGCGGCACTTTAATTATAAGGCAGTCCAGCTTAAATAAGAAAACATTCTATTCTTTGTTAATGACATGAACAACAATACTCTTGTGTCTGGGGAGATGGCTCAGAGAGTAAACTTCCTGCTGTGTAAACATGGAGACCTGAGTTCAGATGTCCAGCACCCATGTAAAAAGCTGGCATGATGGCACATGCCTGCAACATCAGCCCTGACGAGGACAGAGACAGACAGATCCTTGAAGCTCACTGGCCAGCCAGTCTAGCCAATCGGTGAGCACCAGGCTCAGTGATAGATGCTATCTCAAAACACAAGGTGAAGAGCAATAGAAGACATCCCATGTTGACCTTTGGCCTCCATACATGCATGGGTGCATGGCACACATACACACATGCATGTAACAACACACAGACACACAAATGCACAATATTCTTTTTATCTCTATAAATCACATTTATACACAAATTATAATACCCGGAACATTTTATTAACACATATCAGCCCATTTAGGTTATTGTTTATAATACAATACAAATAGTACACAAGAGGAAGAAAGAACCACAGCCATATAACTCAAGGATCAGCATGTTCCGGAGGTTTTCTTCATAAATACTAAAATTTAGCGACTCTGCTTTTCTAACATTTGAATCTATTCTCAATGTATATTACAACAAATATTTCACATCACAATTGAAGCTTTTCTGAATTACAGAGAAGGCAGAAGGTTCCCGTGCGTGCACGGGAACCGAGGACACAGTGATAGTCCTGTGGGGACACAGTGATAGTCCTGTGGGCTGTGTGGGGGTGGCACTGACCTGATAATTGACGGTCGTACTTCAGTCTTCGAGTACACACTCTTAGAAGTCTGTTTTCAGTTAAAATTTGGGGAGATGATAGATATTTAGAATGTTGTCAGCATGGTGGAATGGCGTCCGATACTGCAAAACAAGAAGAGACCCATTGTCCAAACTCTACGCAATGTGGCAGACCCCATTTATAGCAGCTGTGACTATGACTGGTAAGGCCTGAGAGCTACAGGCTGATAGTGAAAAGAAGAAAATAGCCAGTTCTTTAGGATGAAGCGGAAAAAACACCAGGAATCTGACTTTCGTTTTCTAAGAATAAGCAGGGAAAATAGGTGCCGTTAGAAATTCTTTTGAGATAGGGGTCTTACTACAGAGCCCAGGCTGACCTCAAACTCAAATGGTGACCCTCCCCCAAGTACTGAAACCTCAAACTCAAATGGTGACCCTCTCCCAAGTACTGAAATCTTTTAAGATGTCCAGTGCCATTTCAAGGACTAGCTTCTGAAGATACTGGGGACTGACTATGCCTGAATTGACAAAAGCTATTTGCTTAATCGACATGATGCATGTGCAATGCCATAACACATTCTGAAAAATGTAATTCACACACACACACACACACACACACACACACACACACACACACACACACAGAGCTTCAAAAATGAAAGAAACGCATAAAGAAGAGCCAGGCTGGGAGTCTGGACCTGTAGCTCAGTGTCGGAGCATTTAAGGGTTCAATCCCTAGCACTGAGGGAGGACTGTGCGTATGGAAGAACTGGATGTGCTGACACACACCATAATCCCAGTACTTGGACCACCCAAGATGCAGAGGCAGAGACAGGGGGATTATGAGCCTGAGGGCAGCCTGGGCTATACAGTAAGACTCAAAAAAAAAAAACCAAAAGGGGAAAAAAGTGGATAAGTCTTAAATTAAATAAAATTTATTTATCCATAATCAATAAACTATGACTATCTGAATTTAGGACAGGAAGTGTGGGTTTGCTATACAGTCAAGAACAGAGGACCAACAGCAAGCAGGCAAACCACTAAGTAAGCTATTTCAGCAATTTCTGCCCAATATATGGGCAGAATTATACAGTCCAGGAGTTTGGGAAACTGGCTGTTTCTAACTCACACTCATTATCAGAAATATCAGTGCCAGATTTCTGGCACAGCACACTGCAGTCTACAGACTCATTCACTTCTCATTTTCTGAATGGGCTGTGACTTGTCACTGTCACCATCCATTACAAGATTCTGAAAGACAAGATCATTCCAACCAGATGCCCAGCTCATTCCTTCCAGCAGAATCCCTCTAAGACCCAGACTTTCTTGGAGTTTACACCCAGAAACTTCTGTCTAAGGAATGCCACACTCTATAAATTTGAAAGAAAAACCACTTGTGGACAAGCTGTCTGGATATAGTACCATACTCTGTAGCACTACCAGCTGAGGCTAGATTAAGCGTCAGGGTTTTTTTTTTTTTTTTTAAATAAAAACACACATAAACACATACAATAAAAATGTTATACACATTTCAATACCCTGGAAAAATAAGCCCATTTAAAGGAAAAATATGAGACATTTTCACATTACCAGTATGTGATTTCAAATGACTTGCCCTGCACACCATTTGGTATAGTCACAGCCTTTCCTACTACATCAGAGCTAAAAGCCAGCAGAATGTGAGCTGTGAGAATGTGAGAATGTAAATGAACTTTTCTTTTCTGAGACAGGGTCTTGCTATATAGCCCAGGCTGGCCTTGACCTTATAATCCTCCTGCCTCGGCCTCTGAAGTAGTGACTTATAGCTGTGTGCTACCACACCTGGCCAAATAAACTTTCATGTAACAACAGAAAATTTATGGGTGCTGGGGACGTATGCACACCATGTTGTTTCCTGCCCCCCCCGCCCTAGGTGTTCATCAAAGCTCTACTTATTTTGGTTCTAATTGTGCACCTTCCCCTTCCTTCCTGAAGAAGCCGGTGCTCTGGAATGGAATTACTTCTATAGGACAACAGGCGGGTTTCCCCTTTACTACACAGAGATAAAGAAACACCCCAAACAACTTCTACAGTCAAGTAGGACAGGGTGGGGCAGGGCACAGTGTGGGTAAAGGGCCTGTGTGTCTAGTATCTGGGTGTGAACTGAAGGGTTGGCTTTTTTTTCCAGGTGGCAGGTAATACTGAACACAGAGAAACATGAAAGCTTTAGATGACTCTTAGTTCCTGACATAGCCACCTCAAAATCAAACAAACAAAAACCATTAAGAAATCAGTTCAACTAATGCATTTTAAAAATCAGTTATTTTACTGGGAGATCACTTCTTTATTGTATACTCAGAAATCAAATTTAAGCAATTTACACTTGGGCTTCAACTGGACCACAGGCCATTCAGTGAGCTTCTAGTATAAGTAATTAAATATGAGCAAAAGCATAAAGCAATTTTGTTCCAATTATGCATGCAGTCTCACATAACTAACTAAAACCAAAACATGGGTCAGTTACTTCTTAAAAATCAATATACAGGATGGGTATTTTGAAATCTTTACACAAAATAATGCACTGTTTTTAAAAGGCTAGTATACACCTGGGCGTGGTGGTGTATACCTACAATCCTAGCACGTGGGGGGTGGAGGCAGGAGGATCAGGAGTTCAAAGCCTGCCTGAGCATATACGCCTACTGAATTCAAGGCCTGCCTGGACCATAGAGACCCTGATTCAAAAAACCAACCAAAGCAAAGCAAAGAAAACCAGCATATACAGATAAAAAGAAAATAAATACAAAACATCATATTCAAATACTAAATCTAAATCTGAACAAAACTGCACTTATAAAATGTATCTAAAGAAACCTCTTAAGAAGTGGAAGGTGTTGACACACTAGACTATCTCAAATGATGTAAAATTCTCCAAGTTCTCACCCCTCTGGTTTTCAGAAGGGCTATCTGTTCAACTGAGCTAAGAGAGTGACAGTGCTATAAATGGTCCCTTCCTCTTATTATTTTAGGATCAAGTTAGGGAAGAAGATCATGTCAACATGGTATAAGAAAAAAAAATTTCTGATTTGTTTTAAAAAGCTGCTTTTAGCCAGGTGTGGTGGTACACACCTGTAATCCCAGCATTTGGGAGGTTAAGACAGAAGGAATCTTTTATAGAGACCAGCATAGGCTACCTTAGTAGAACTCTGTCTCAAAACCAAAAGCCAGCTGGGGTGGGGGTTCTGTTTTTAACTACTACTATTACTTTAAAAAGTTCCAAGTCCAGCCAGTCTTAGGGGTGCAAGTCTTTATTCCGGCACTTTGGAGGCAGAGGCAGGTGGATTTCCGTGAGATTAAGGCCAGCCTGGTCTATGTAGAGTTCCAGGCCAGTTGGGGCCATAGGGAGCTCTAAATCATGGTACAGAATATAATTTTTCTTTTTCTAAAAAAATTATTTTTATTTTCTGTGTATGAGTGTGTTGCTTGTATGTATGTAAGTGCATCTGTGTCGTGCAATGCCTGTGGAGGTCAGAAGAGGGTGTTGGATCCCCTGGAACTGGAGTTATGGATGGTTGTTAGCCACCATGTGGGTACTGGGAATCGAACCCAGGTCCTCTCCAAGAGCAGCCAGTGCTCTTAACCACTGAGCCATCTCTCCAGCCCCCTAGAATACAATTCCATTTTGTGGACTTCTATAATATGAAACAATATCAGCTTTATTCCCAATACTTTAAATCAAGCTTCTCTCAACTGATGCTAAAAAGATATTACTAGACTATTTAGATTCCTATAATATATACAGTAATGGACTGAGTTGTGGGTCTGTACCCTAAATTCCTATGTTGAAGACTTAATTCCGATAATTCCTAGCTATTTCAGAATGTGACTGCATCTGTAGACTGCGCTTGTCTGCTTGTCTATCTGTCTCTGTCTCTCTCTATGTCTCTCTCTCTGGCAGTGCTGTGGATTGAAGCAAAGGTCTTGAACTTTTTAGGCAAGCGCTCTACCACTCAGCTAAACAACCAGCCCCACAGACTTTAAGAGGCAATTAAGTTAAAATGAGGTCATTATGTTCATTACAGTGGTTCCCTAATCCAGTATGACTGGTGTCCTTACAAGGAAATCTAGATATAGACAGGTCAGGGTAAGACAAGGAGATGGGGGGAAAAGTGCTTTCTATAAGCCAAGGAGAGAAACCAGCCTGGTCAGCAAGCACAGTTATCTAAACTTTCAGCCAACACAATTGTGAGAAATTCCTTCTAGCTAAGCCACCCCATTGTGGCACTTCTTAAAAAAACTACAGGGAAGATAATAAAACATACTAACTATGTTGCTCTATTTTATTTTTGAGCTAGAGTCTCTTTGCAGCCCCAGCTGGCCTGAAACTTGCTATGTAGAGCAGGCTGGTCTCAATCTCAGAGCATCTGCCTCTGAGTGCTGGGACTAGAGGTGCACACCACCTAGCTCAACTTTGTTTTTTTGAGACAGTCTCGTCAGTCCTGGTAGACTTGCTATGCAGATTAGGCTGGCCTCAAACTTGCAATACTTGTCCTGCCTCTGCCTCCCAAGTGCTGGGATTATAGTCATGAGTCACAGGTCCATTTAAACAACTAGATCAGAGCTGGGTGTGGGAGTGCAGCACTTGGGAGGCAGAAGCAGGTGGATCTCTGTGAGAACAAGGCCATCCTGGTCTACATAGTGAGTTCTAGGTCAGCGGAGACACAGACCCTGTCTCAAAAAACCATAACAAACAACAACTAGATCTAAGCCTTTCCCCTGCCAAGACAGCACACACCATCATATACCATTTCTCAGACTGCTTTACCTCTTTTTCTAGCCACATAACAGACAGCATTACAATAAAACAGAATTGTTCAGGAACATTTTTTTCAGAGATTGTAAATTTCAGGATCCTTCAAGGAAGAATGCTTTGAGTTATCCTGGGAGACAATCTCAACACTGCACTTACAGAGAAGTCACCATGGTCTGAAGGGATCAAGATGCTTATTTATCTAATGCTGCCCACGCAGGCTCTGAAGCAGGTCTCAAGGGACTAGCTCTGTGGTTTGGCTGATCCTCTCCAAGGTCAGCATTTATAACACTGTAGTACTCTATTTAAATGCACAGTACTCCATTCAAGACAGATT